CATCCAGCCAGTTCCTCACCCAGCGAAGAGGGTCTTGATAAAGCTGTTGCTGCTCACATTATATCCCTTCAATGTGTTGTCACTACTGTGCAAGAGCATCGTATTACTACTAAAAAAGGGTTATCAGTTAAAAAAAAATAATGCTCATTCACAAGCCTGTTACACTAAAACATACTTTAGTAAATAGGCTACATCCAAACAAATTTTTCAAGAGTTTTTTTCCCACCCATTCCTATAAAGCTTCCATGAGCTAAAGGAATATTTGACTACGGCTTTCGAGGCTCCCAGGTGTCACTGCAACAACTCAACTGAAACAAGTGAATGTTTATTTCTCATTTAGATTCAACACAGCTCAAACCATGCTAGGTAGTTTGTGAAACAACACAACCCCATCACTGAAAAAAAAAACAAAAAACCAAAAAACCCAAAACTCTTTTTCATCTTCTGAGTCTTTGGGAGGAGATAAAAGGATTAAAAAAATATCCAAAGCTTCTGAAAGGAAATCTCTTCGAAACTGATCTTCTTGATGCTTGAGTAGTAATATCATGCTTTCAAGTATGAAGTGTTTTCTTCATTGGATAAGATACAGCATTAGCTACCACCCATAAGCTTTGGTCCACACTGCTTTCTTCTTGAACTCTGCAAGAGATCTCAAGGCCAGAAGTGTAACTGTGAAGACAAGGACAAATGACATTAATTTGTGTAGTCCAGACTAGAAAGGATGTGACAGTATTCTCCCTAGTTATTTTACTAACACAGGTATAGATTCAGTTCTCCTTTTACTGACTCTTTCCATGACTTCATTTCCTGACAGCTTCTGATGCTACTTCTGCTGTTTACACGATACATTAGCCTTTACACACCTCTGACATGTGATGTTGTACTGTGATATTTCATCTGCTTTATGGCATGTCTCCTACTGAAATCATATCACATCATCTGCTAATTAGACAATCACTTTGAAGCGGCACATAGATCAACCAACACTACAGAAAGTTTGAATTCAATGAGCAATAACACAAGAGGGGAGATAGGAGGCACTGGGAAGGACAGAAGCACGAAGTACAATGTCTCAAGTCCTCTGTGCAGTTCACTGATTGGAAATGCAATTTCCTGGTTCCTCAATGCAATCTGAAAGGATCATGCACTTAGGAAAAATTAAGTAACCAAACCAGTCACATTCTTAGTCATCCAGAAGGGAGTGTCATGTTCTAGTACTTAAAAGCAAAAAAACAATGGAAAGCTCAAGGGAAACAATTCATCTCAATCACGGCATACTGACAATATATTGCGTATACCAGAATGCTCTGATGTACAGAGGAGATGCTCCAACAAACCCATAGCATTGTTTCTGATGGAGATTAGCCGACACAACAGGGGAATTTTGAAATTTATCAGAAAGTGACTAAGGATTGCAGACCCTCTAAACAAGGCTAATTATCTTAGTAATGCAAAGAACTTATAATCAGATTTCAAGAAGCCATGTTTAGGTCCAACAAATCAGGTGATCCAGAGGAGATGCCTTGTGTTAATGGAAAGAAGCACAAGCATACTCACTTGAGAGTATCTGTGGTGTCCTTTTAAAATGACTTGCACAGATTGTATTCACAATCCTACATCTCTAGATGAGCAATGGGGTGTGTGCTAGGGCCACAGGGCATTACTGTAGTTCAAAATACCTTGTACTTCCCATTTTTCAATGAGAAACCCTCATTCCCCTACCCTTTCTTGCAGAGCACTCTAGTAGTCTGTCATTGCCTGTCTCCTACCCCTTCCTCCCAGTTCAGTTTTCAGCTGCACCTGAATAAACTGTTAGGTGATTTCTATTTGGTACTGGAGGGTTTCCAAATAATAAGTTGCATTTTATTTTTAAGGGTAACTTCAAAAACAATTGACAGATCTATCACAGAAATACACTTTTAAGACCAGATGTACCTTTAGGTCCTTTGGATCTTCAGTGGTACATCATAAGCATTAGCAGATGAGACAGCAAATACAAGAAGGTGTTACAGACAGGAATATTAACTTACCTGTGAAAGTTTCCTTAAAGACAAAATATAGCTCTCCTACATGTGCTAATAGTATAGCTTCATCTCACTCCTTTTAACAACGGGATTTTGATCTGTATTTGTTATGGCAACTTAAGAACCCAATTAAAAATATCCTACCTTTCAGCAGGTCTGTGGAAGATTTTGATAATGCTTCCTTAGGACTTTCCATCATATTGATCAGCCAGTCAGTAAACTAAAGATTGAAATATAAAGGAAAATCTGAATTAAAAGAGTCTCTGTATTAGAACACCACAAATTCTTTTCAGTTTGACAGGCAACATGTGATTGCTGCTAAACTCGTAGTTATCTAATCAGTGACAGTGGCCAATCAAGCTTCTGCCCAAACTCCGTCTTGCCTGTTCATGACTGACCTATTAATACGATCCTTTCTTATCAGTCTTTTGACCAAACGTTTTACTGCAAATCCTTCAGAACTGTTACTGCTTTTATTTCTCTTTTGACCTCTCTTGTTTTTCACTGTTTTTCTGGCAGTGTAGGGTGCCTGGAGGACAATGTGGTATTTCAAACTTATCAGGATGATATTCAGGGCATAGTCTCAAATTCTTCCCTAAAGCCTAATTAGGTACTTGCATATTAACAGCCCACTCCTTCATTCCTCCCACATTCTGAATTCTAACTTCAGTGGTAACTCTGAGCGCAGGAGTGTACAGAAGCCAGTCCTTAATGGATTCTGGTTTGCACAAAACAGCTTGCTATTAATCTATAGGTCTATAACAATATTTCCACATACCTTAACCACAAGTAATCTACAGTAGGCTTGCCAAACTAGACACAATTTTCCACACTTATTTTCAACTTACACTTCAAAAAAATGACACAGACTACAAGCTGCACTGAGGATCTTTAATTGCCCTAAATTGCCACTGTGGTGATGTCCAAGTGCAGAGGTTCTGTCTTTCAGTGTTTAAAAGACTGACTTGCTATCAGCAGCTGCTGACTCTCCTCTCCCAGCTGTACCCTCTTAAGAGTTTGACTCCCAACACTGGAATGTTTTTTGTTCTTTGCTACTCTCACATTTACTTGAGAAACGACATTCAGTCTTTTGAGACAAGTCATATCTGAATGCAAATAAAGAAAAACAAGATCCCAAGTCAGATGCAATAGATACAGAGGAAATAACTGCTCCACCTAAGACTTGAGCTGACTACTAAAAATGGGGTGCTTTTTGACTCTTGGAAAATGCTTACCACTAGATGCAATTTTACCTTCTGTGTTTGTTCTTTCCAAGGCTCTTTAGCCAGCAAAAGGGAAATGCTGCTCGGAAGGAGAGTGAGAGTCTCCTGCACAGCAAACTTTTCAGTGGGATGCTTGCCAATGTGATCCTCAGATAATGCCGGTGGTATTGTTTGGTCCTTCCATGGTGACCAGCTAGCATTGAGGCCAAGCAGTAATGGTGCACCATGGTCAGCCCAGGCCACCACAGAAGCTGCAAAGAGCCACAGGAGGAAATCTATGCACTAAACAGGAAAAAGGCAAAAATGCATATTATTAAACGAATTATACAGAAGGAGGAAAAAGACCCCCAATAAAAATGCCCCAAACCAAAAATCTAGATGGCTGTTTGCTCTGCAAAACAATCACCTGAGAATTCAGCTAACATTCAAAATGCAAGAACTAAAAAGTTCTTAATATTCTCCTATACTTTGAAGTGGCATAAGCCTTTCTCTAAACCCCAAATCAAACTAAAATGTCTACAGAAAGAAAAGCAAAACCACAGTCTTCTAAAATAAATCATCCTTTAGATTAAGGCTGATCCACATTTCATTTGAAATCAGGAAAAACTTTAGAGCAAGCTGACTGTTGAGGGAAATTAGGGATGGTCACCCTTGTGGTGCTATAAATAACTGGGAAATATTGCAGCAATGTAATAAATGCCTTTTTGATCTAAGCAGCAGCTTATTTTATGTTCTCAAACAGAAGACTTAAACAGCTAAACAATATTGGTTCCCTAAAACTGTCTAAGCTCTCTTAGCAACAGCAGCTGCACAGTTTTGGCCTGCTTAAACAGTTCTACTGGTGAATTCAAATTTTTCCTTTAATTGTTCTAAATACAGTGAATTTGAAGCAATGATTTCCTTTACTTGCCTTTAGCTTCTATCATAATTTAAATGTCATGGTTATTTTGAAGTCAGAGTTTTAAATACACATTCATTCACAAAAATTGAGAAGAATTTCTCTATGGAGGTAAGATGACAACATTCTAAAATATAAAAGCATGGGGAATAATACTTATTGTTGAGGAAGAATGTGAAATACATCAAAACCTCCTTTTTTCCTGGAAGCTGCAAGTTATTTTCACAGCACGTACCTCTTTAAGATCGACATTTTGTAAGGGTGTTGACTGGTATGCTACATTTCTGATGTAGCCCATCAGGTCTAGCAGCCAGTCCATTCTTTTCTGCACTCCTAGAAGAACATGAACATTGACTTACATAAAACATGGAGAATGCATCATTTTCCATTAAAAAGCAAGCATAGGGAATCACTATCAACAAAGCAATGACTGTGGAAGAACAACAATCACCAATACCACTATCACATTTGATTCATGGTTGCCACTGACAGAAGGCATATGGGCACTTAAACAGTATAAATGCTTTGCTTGTAACGCAGGCAACACACCGAACACACCAAAAAAGGAATGCTGAGTGACAATTATTTCACATAATGGCAGCCTGCAGGCCCCTGTTACCTAGTCTGCATATATGACCACTACAGAAGCCTAAAGCCTCCCTGAAGTTTTTGCCCTACTTCTTCATCTAAGTCTAGCACTGATGTATGTTGGGCAAGAATGTGGGGAGTGCTGCAAAAATCATCCTACAGTGCAGAGATGATCAACAAAATACAGTCAAAGCATGCAAATAAAATCAGTTCTCAACCCAAGGAGGGAACATGTTTCATTGATTTAGATTCTGCTGTCCAAAATCCATTCTACCTCCTACAAACTAACAACCATCTTCACCTTCAAGACCATGTCATTTTATACATTATCATTTCCTTGTACTCTTTACATGGGCCGTCTTTCATGTTTCCTCCTCTTTTACCCAAAGAAGCCTCACTTTGCTCATTCAAAACACATTGTTTGAAGTTCTTCAACCACAGCTGGCAGCTAAGGCATCTAGCTATATAATGCTTGGAAGTTGTTCTGTGAACACAGGCAGCCAAAGATCCTTCCGCCATGAAAATGAAGATATCTTTCTTGCCTCCCTCTGCTCTTGTTTCTTCCTCCTTTATCTTCCTGTGTGATTCTGCTTCTTCTCTTGCATCAGCTCCAGTGCTTTATGAGACCCTTAGCTGAGCCAGCCCAACTCATTAACCAACCAGACATCTATCTGGTATGGTTATGAAGAAGCAGAAGGGCAATTTGTTTCCTATGTTAACTCAGTGGAATGGTGCAGAAAAGCAAGCTATCTTCTTGGTTCAACCAGTCTCACGCAAACGTACTCCTACTTAGAGTGTCACACACCAGTGAGATACTAGATCTGAAGGTTAGCAGAGTTGCACTACTGCTGGTCTCCAATGTGCTATGTACATTTCTAACATTACCTTACACTGAAAATCTAAAAAGACTAGGTTCAGTTCTAGTCACAGTTCTAGTCAAAACTCTCGTCTGCAAGTCTGCACCTGGCTCAGACAAGTGGCTTGTAGTTGATAACAGAAACAAAGAATTAGAGAAAAACATAAAAGCAATGTTTAAACAAGTATTTGAAAAGCAAAAAATTTCTAAGATTGAGTAGTTTCTGATATGGAGAAATCTGGAAAAACTCAGGTTTAACTATCTTGAAATTATTTTAAAAGAATCAGTTGATATCTGAGATCCATTGATATCTGTTGATTTTGTTGTTGATTCTTCTTTAAGCCTGACCTTACCTGTGTTTTCATGGCTCACAATACGAGCATGATAGAAACTATGCAAGAGCATCCATAAAAAATTTTCTTTCTGGTGATATCCTGCCACAGTATCAATCACGGCATTCAAGTTCATCAGAGGCAATCTGCCTTGAGAAATTAAATACACTTTCGTGAATGTAGCCTTCTCTATATTGTTCTGCAAATAAAATTAAAAGACATGTTAAATTAAAATGTACCTTTTTTGTGGGAACAGTAGATCCTGCATTCCTCATTATAAAAAAAGGGGGAGAAATTCTTTGATTATCTAGCAGGCTTATTTTTATTCAATGCAAATTATGAATCAGAAGACTATACATATTACTTTAATTTTACATGCTTCTTAAATAGTCCAACAAAGTGCAATTCAGTACAGCTTGACTGTTTTCATACTGCTTTAAATTTTACAAAAATTAAAATGAGACAGCTTGACAATTCTGGAGACTCAGTTCTTCTTGCAAGACAAATTCACTGCAGTGACAACAAAGGTTTTCTTAAACGGCATTTTCAAGTGTGGAAATAAGAACTCAAAGGTATAAGAAAATGACAGTTCAGCTTCCCTCACCTATTTAAATGCTTGACACCCTACCGAATCTGCCAGTAAACAGACCAACATGGTTTTATGTCATGGATGTGTTTTTTTAACAACCAGATCTGAAACCATCAAGTCCTTCCACACAGGTCACTTCCTCAGTAGTTCAGCTGCTAAAAATTACACTATTAATTAATTCCACTGGTGAGCCAGAAGCTGATATCTTTTCTATACCATTGTCATCCTTAGCCATCTTGTCCACCAGGGAACATTCTGAATGTGAATGCAAATATTGCACATTAAGTCAAGAATGAGAGATTGTTCACATTCCAAGATCTAACACCATCCATACTCTCTAACAGAGCCCTGCCTGGACTTGACCAAGTTACTTAGACTCTCCACTTCAAAGCTCCCAAGTGAAATCAGTAGTATTTCAGCTGCCTTGAAAAAGTTTTGGATATGGGGGTCTTACCACTTTTGCTTCCTTCTGCTGTGCGCAAATTAGAGCCAGAACACTTTTACTTGCATGGCAGATAAAACAATCAATGCTCCCAATGAGCTAAAACACTTTGGTGACAAGAAAAATGGTAAGGCATGCTTGTTTCACATGATTTGGTGATAAAAGACCAAGAGGAAACCATCATTACCTTAGAGATCTGGACAATGCGATCAATCTCTGAATCAGCCATTTCTGAGATACATTTTGCTACATCGGTATACATCTCCAGTTTGCCTCTCTGCAAACAGAAAAGTAAATGCATGTTTAGATATATATTTCCAGATTTCTTCCATCATTAAAATTGGCGAGTCCTGGAACTTTGTTAATGATCATGATGAATACTTAATCTAGTCTCTAGCCTCATTTTATTTATTCTATTTTAGATATTCTGTATTTGCTGGGGACTTCAGTGTACTTAATTATTAAGGAATAATGGTATCTGAGAACTATCAAAGAGTTGTTTTCTTTTTAATGGAAAAGTGCCCTTCCTTGGAGCTATTTTCTGTAGCTAGAGAGTTTCTTTAAACCACTGTGAGAAGCTGAATCC